ATCAAAGTGCCGACACAAACACCCCCCCCCCAAATTAAGAAATGTTTGCCTTACCCCTCAGAAAGAACGCAAAGATCAAAAGATGCCGATGCACACAACCCCTCAGAAACAGCCTTTTCAACCCCCCTCAGAAACTCTCGTATTATAATTAAGTGGTGGCCCCATGATCCCATCTTCGCTAGTAAACAAGTCCGATTTGTGACAGATTTCTGGTCTTTGAGCTTCGCCAATTTCTCACGACAAGCAACAAATCTCTTCAGACGCTTCTCTGTGACCTTTAGAAGTGATTGTGAAACATCCTCAAAATGAATACAACATTTATTCAATTTTAAATGTTTGAGTGACCAACTTTTTTCAGCCGCCATATTGCTTTTATCCGCGCGTGGCAGCTATGTTGCCATGGAAACACGCGCGATTTCAAGATGGCGTAAACGAAACATTGATCGAATATTATCAAAGTTTCAAGTCTATTTTCTACCTTTTGTGCACGCTAGTGAACGGGGGCTTTGTATTTCATGAACAAGGAGACTAATATGCATTGTGTTATGGCGGAATTTTTTAGCCTCGCGACATGTGCAACGAACTTGAAAGATATAGCAGATATGTGACGGCCTAGATGGAAAATTTGAGGCATATAAAGTTAATTTCAACTTACATTTCATTCTCAAATCACGTCTTTCTTCGTTTATTACGGTTTTAAACAAGCCATAGATCGACGTATACTGTATTTACTCCCATGTTCACGTCGCCATATTAACTTCTTCCAATCACGCGATTACAAAACAATCATCCCACAACAAAGAATTCATGATCGACTTTTAAAAGAATAACCAATAATTTGTAAATCGTTGAATGGAAAGCAAAAAATCGTCAGCTAAAACAGCTTCTTGCTAACTTTCTGCTTTGTTTTGAATGCAAATGCAATGAGCTTTGTTTCTGCCCGCAATTTTTTGGTCAGCGACGACAAATTTCCCACCTGTTGTGCTTGTGCGTTTATAGTTCTGATTGCCTCTGGAAGATTGCGTGACACAACTACCGAAATAAATCGGACTGCTGTCAGAAACCATTCGTTGACTTTTTACAGTTTCAATATTAGTTTGTAAATCTCTGAATGGTAAAACTTGCCAATACTCCAATAATACGTTTCAAAAAAAGACAAAAAAGCTTTAGTTTTGCAGAGTTAAATTCTCAAACGTGTAAGGCAATAATAAGATGAAAGTATCACGAAATTATTTTAATAAACCACATCGCATATATGGGGGGCGAATGTCCTAAAGAGGGGCGATATTCCTAGGGTATTCGCCCCACCCCCTTGGGAGGCGATATTCCTAGGATATTCGCCACGCTTTGAGGGGGGGGGCGAATCTCCTGGGGGGGCGACCTTTTTAAAAATTATATCTTGACCCCCCCAATTTGAGTTTGCCCCCCAAATGGCCCCCCCCCCCCCC